TGGACGACAGACTTGTCTCTGATGTCGCCAGTGCAGGGGCCGCCACAACCCACGCCACCACGACTTGGAGCAACCGGCGTCGCTGAGGGTTGCACCACCCCCAGCGACGTGACGCCCACACCACGCGAAGCTGCCCGACGTCTCGCATGTTTCACTGAGGAGGTGCAGCTCGAGCGAATGCCGCCACTAATCGCCAGCCCACCCAGGCAGAAGGTGGTAACCATAAGGCAACCCATGCCAAAGCGGAGCAGACGGATTGCCACTCAGCCGCTGGTGCACATTCCGATCTCCAAGCGGGGCGAGGTGCTCCTCATGCGGAGGATGGGCTTTGCACCGCCGGCAGGTCCAATCTCATCCGCGTCCAAGAGAGCTTACGACGACTTTTTCGCAAAGAACTGGACGTCGAGCGAAGTGGAAGCGCTGGACGAGTTGTTCCCGGCGACCACTGCTACGACTGGTAGAAGGCTCTTCTCGGATGACGGAGCAGAGTCGCGTGGCTATTAGCGGAGATGCACAGCTCCGTAGGTTACTGCGCTGCTCGTAGTTTCGGTTGTTTACTTTTATGTAATATCGAAGTTTGAAACAGTCTGATAGGAAGGTCCAGTCAAACTATAAGACCTCCTAGGGCGCTCATTAGAAGCGTGTCGCGTGTATGGTTAAACTCTTCTTCTTCTTAATTACAACGATACACAAATTTTTTGTGTATTCGAGAAAAAAAATAAGTCTATGGGTTATTATTGTAACAACGCGTGGTTCTACTAATCCATAGGTTCATTTGTGTTGGGTTTAGATAATAAGATTATGGGTGGGGTAGGTTAGATAAGAAAGTTAATTTGTTACGAGTTGAATTAGGTTATTGTAATAATCCGTGGTTCTATAATCGGTAGGTTGGTTCATGTTGGGTTTAATAATAAGATTATGGGGTGGGGTAGGTTATAGTGTCCCCGGTAGTTTAAAAAACAGTTGAGGTAGGGAGTTGTTTGAGAGTGGGTTTTTTTTCAATCTTGCTAAAAATCAAAACTGGAAGTGAGTTTTAAAACTCTTGGAGATGCTCTTGGATACGAGAGTTAATTTGTTAAGAGTCGAATTGGGTTTCAATCGCATTAACAGGCAAAAAATCACGTGATTACGGAGACGAAACATCGGAATAGTCCCGGATCATTTGTCGATTGGAAATTTTAGCAGCCAGCACTGAATGTGACCCTCCCTTTACTTGCAACTGAACCAACCTTCCTCACTGTGCCAGCAGCCACAGGGCGAACCGAGTACCACAGGGTAGGAAATACAGGCTGCATCAACCACAACCACATCCGTCTGCTAGCATTTAAACAGCCATCGAGTTGTTGTGTGCATACAAGAACGTACCTACGTGCATCTGTCGATTTGATGAGTCACATGCATGGTGCCCACAAGAGCTCGTACGCACCTTAGGCCCAAAGGCCAACGGCAAATTATTTTGTGCATGAAGAAAAGGGAATTCTTGTTCACGATCCCGTTAGAACGTGCAATTTTACAGTGACAAGGGAACTAATAACGAGCAATAACTGAATTAGACTACAGCAACACATGATGTAGATGGAAGTTCGTACTACTAGTTTATACTACTCTAATTACTGGTATATGCCTTTACATAAAGATACTTTACAAAATTCAACGTGTTGATGTTGTCCGCAAAGTTCTACTACAAAAAGAAACCTGGTACTCAATTGACAGAGCTGTTCTCAGAAAATATGCCTTAGTTGTCCTCAGGAAAAAAAAAAGCTATCAGCTCATCATACCGCTTTAGAAATGGTTTTCTTTTTATTTTTCACCTTTTTCTAAAACGAATTCCAAATCTAACACCATTGCATTTTTATTTCCAAATCTAAGCCGTTTGGCCGCGTTTAAGTCCGTGGCGCGGCCAAAACATGCTACCGCGCTACATGCATCGGCGCGGCACAATCTGCCACATCAGACAAGGATTTTCACCGTGCCACTCCAGTTGTCGCGGTAGCATTGTAGCACCGCGCCAACCAGACTGGCGCGGCAAGAAGCAATCTTAGAAAAATTATATCTTTTTCATATGATCTCGGATGAAGATAACTTTTATATGAAAATTGTAGCTCTCGACGAGATCTGCAACTTTCTAGTTTTGAGTTTTTAAATTTAAAGTCAAAAAATTAAATAAAGTTTGAGCAGTATATTAATTGCATACAAGTGGTTGTCGTCTTGGAAAAATCGTATCTCTCATATATAGTGTCAAATGAAGATACATTCTATATGAAAGTTGTAGCACTCAACGAGATGTACAATTTTCTCATTTTGAGTTTTCTAATCTTAAGATTCTCAAAAAAAATTAGACAAGTTTCTGCAGTATATCAATCGTGTACAAGTGCGTGTCGCCTTAAAAAAATTATATCTTTCTTATATTGTGTCAAATGAAGATATCTTTTATATGGAAGTTATAGCTCTCAATGGTATCTACAAATTTATAGTTTTGAGTTTTTTCATTTGAGATCATTAAGATATTTAAAATAATAATATAAAGTTTCAGCAGCGTATTAATATAAAGTTATAGATCGCATAAGAAAGATATAATTTTTCTAAGGCGACAAGCACTTGTATGCGAATAATATATTGCTGAAACTTTATTTAATTTTTTTTAGCATCATCATGACCTCACATTAAAAAAACTTAAAACTAGAAAGTTGTAGATCTCGTTGAGAGCTACAGTTTTCATATAGAAAGTATCTTCATTTGACACCATATACGAGAGATACGATTTTTCCAGGACGATAAGCACTTGTACGTGATTAATATACTGCTGAAACTTTGTTTGACTTTTTTGAGCATTTTAATGACCTTAAATTAAAAAACTGAAAACTAGAAAGTTGTAGATCTCGTCGAGAGCTACAATTTTCATATAATAATCATCTTATGTAAGATAGTATGAAAAAATATAATTTTTCTAAAGTTGCACATTGGCGCGGCGCTACATCGCTACCGTGCCAACGGGAGTGGCGCAGCAAGGATTTCCACGTGGAAATCATTGTCCGACGTGGCAGATCGTACCGCGCCGATACATGTGGCGCGGCAGCGTGTTTTGACCGCGCCACGGATTAGGCACGGCCAAACAGGTTAGATTTGAAAATAAAAAAGGTTAGATTTGGAATTTATTTTTAAAAAAGGTTAAAAATAAAAATAAAAAAACTAGAAATGTGATATAGACTACAACCAACGCTTGACAAGTGAATCCATGTTCAGAGTGTAAAACTGTAAATCCTTAGTCCTCGTTCATCTCAGGACCAGAATCAGCTGCAGTTAGCTTTTCTATTATTTGTCCTTGCAGATTTCCAGGACAAAATGCCAAAAGAATTCTTTAGAAGTATGCCAGTACCCACCATCAGCAATAATTGGTACCCAACCAAGCAGTGCAAGGAGACACGCACCAACTACATACATGCTTTACATATACTGCAACATGTCATCAAAAGGTGGCATCAAGAATTCAAAGATTTGGTCAGGTATTTAAAAGCAAGATATGGGACCAAGTAATGGAGTAAAAAAGTTATATTTTTGGGTTCTATCTTAATACTACAACCTCATGCCCTCACTTATTAATCTCCTACTGATTTTTACGAGAATATATTTGAGTGGCAATTTTTCTGTGACATGATATAATATCAGGTGACCGTAAATTTGTTATTCCAATGTTCTTCGCTTCAACTAGAAACGAATATTGCACTAATATTACCCATGAAGCATTATAATTTGCATTCTATGTTTCTATCTAATCAAGAGGGCTGATTTAGCGCCGTAGGAGAAGTTTCTCCAATATATGCCAAAATTGTAGCGATAGAAAGTTGCAAACTAACTTATTCGCTTGAAGATCTTATACTAAAATAGCAGAAAATGCAAAAGATAGGATAGCAGCCTCAGCAATCTTGGCATAATAACGAGACGAGACCTCAGTTCTAACTTCTAAAACACAAATCTGACAAACAATAACTCATGGTAAAGACTTGGAAACAACTAGTACATAAATATATTTCCAAAATGCTGAAAGGTTGGGTCCACATCTTCACCTTAATACATGATGCAGCGAAATCTGAAGATACAAATTACCTAACAGCGTGAAGAAATGATTTCCAACAGTGGCTCAACAGAATTAACAAGCATTCCCATCTTCTGTTAAGTTTGTGTATATTAGCAACTGAGCACTAATTCCGACGAGCAAATTCAGTACTGAAAAGGTCCCTATCTGCACTCAAAACTCTAGGTACATAGTATATGAACGATTGTAGTTGATCTGCAGTGTTTGAAACCCTGATCTGTGAGACTGTGACAACACTTTGGACTCGAAAAGCTTTAACTGCTAATATCAATGCAGCCAGGTGGGCAGCTACCTTAATGGAGTGTGTGTAAACTATGATAGCATTGCTACCTTGCACAAGTCAATAAATCCCTGCAGCAGCCTTTCTGCTTCAATGGCGAATCCAATAAGATATACCAAAGCATAAGGCTATGAGACAAACCAAACACATCAGCACTTAGTCTCTTGTCCACTGAACAAAATATTGCTGGACTATTTTGCTTCAACTAGTACCAAACCCAATGAAACAATAGCTTAGTACCGATCTCCCTCCAACTGCAAAATTCTCTTAGATCACATCTGCTTAGTCCATGTTACCAAGACTCCAAATCCTGCTTGGACCAGTCAGTCTACTTTACACTCTCCAATCTTTCCCAATCCATTTTCCACTACTGCATGACTGTCAGCATTTCTGTCAAAAAAATAGAAGTGGTTTAACAGTATCCTATGAACCTAATATAAAATTGAAAGTAAACACAACAACATTTGTGTCAGCAAATCGTCTGTACTTTTGTCTAGAACTGGAATGATGGTTAAATTGGTTTGTCATGAAAAATAATAATATCTTCTTATGTGAAATGGAAAGTTTAGATTGATGAAAACAAGAGATCTCATTTAAAGATGTAGGGATACCTTTGGTACCTCTGAATTAAGCACGTTGAAATTTGTTTGCAACTGTTCTTATCCAGGCCCTATCTTTCTTGCTATATGCATAATTTGCATTGGAAGCCAACAGGATGACACCTTCAGTTTTTGTTTCATTATTAGCTGGATCAGGACTCAGAATTGGTTGAGCTAACACAGAAAGAATCCCATCTGGCAGAATCTTCACAAGCTGAGAATCTGGTCAGAGCAGCATGGTTGACAGCATAAGAGAATATTTTCTAGAGTCGTCAAACAAGGGAAACGAAATGTTCTGAAACTTCAATAACCATCCAACTGTACATTAGTAATGCAACTGTTAGTCCTAATATGCATCTTGAATTTTGTAGTTTTAATCGTGCAAGCAGTAGAGTCTTACCGCCTGTGACCGGAAGGTCCCGGGTTCGAGTCGCGGTCTCCTCGCATTGCACAGGCGAGGGTAAGGCTTGCCACTAACACCCTTCCCCAGACCCCGCACAGAGCAGGAGCTCTCTGCACTGAGTACGCCCTAATCTATATGATATGGATATGCCTCCATGTACGAGACACGAAAGCAGTAGTCACAAATGACGTACAATTTACAAATCTTATTTGTTAGCAGCTGGAGTGCAAACTTCATATGACTGGTAACTAAGTACTAATAATCTGTACTGAATTCGGTCAGATATAAATGGTTATGGTTGCAGAGCTCCATTCTGCAATCAAACGAAGGAGCAAAACTAACAATCAGTATGTGGACCGGTAAATCAACACTTTGTGTCAGCAAAAATCGAAAGATTCTGCTAGGCGAGAGCAGTACACTTACCTGAGGAATTAGGGAAGTACAAAGCATCCTTCAAATCAACAAGTCCTACCTGTTGCATCTGACTTTTGAACCACTCAATCATGGCATATTTTGAAGTATTTGCAGGTGGATTCCAGTATCCTCGTACGCAGAAGAGATCCCCAATTGCTATGACCTAGGGGGAAAATAAAGACACAATGAGGCATCTGATTATCTGACTAGTTCAAAAATTGCAATTGTTTCTAAGAATATCCACACAAGAAATGGAAAATGTACTAGACCAATTGACATTATCAAACCGTCCACAATTGTAAACCTGAGAAGATTTTGTAATTGCTGCAACTACTACTTAACTTTAACATCTGATGCTACTATATATCCAAAAGAAAAACTGGAAGTGCCTGGCATATTTGAGCTGAATTCCATCAAGTTCGATTTCAAATCATATGGCTGATAAGAATCCGAATTCATACCACAGACGTGGTGTTTGTGTTCCGCAGCAGGACATAGGACGCCCACGCCATGTCCTCCTTCTGCACCGCTGACAGGTTCTCGGACATGACGAACACCTGGCTGCTCCCCTCGGGCAACGGCACTCGGCTGGCAGCATCAGCGCCCTGCAGCAACAACCAAAAAACCCCAATCGCAGAACTCTCAGTCCCCACCATCCCAGCGCAACGCAACGTACCATTCCATCAAGACTAAGAGAAAAGTCCCCTTCGCACCTCAAGGAACCTCCCGAGGAACGGCAGCGTCGCCGAGAACGCGGCCAGGCACAGCCCCAGAGCCTCGGACCTCTGCGAGTTCGCAGGCACGCACAACCAGTTAGGCGGGGACGGTTACGGTTGAAGGAAGGGGGACGGCGGGAGGTGAGGGGTGGTTGCCGAGGACCGACGAGCTGCGCGGGCGTGGGGGGCGGGGAGAGGAGGTGGTTGAGGACCACGAGCGCGCCGAAACCGAGGCCTATCCACCGCGGGAGGTACGACTCGTCCAGCCCCGGGATCCCTGCGCCATAAGGATAAGGAAGCGTGGTTACCGGGACCAGCTAGACGCCGGCGGCGTACGTACGAGGAGGAGGAGGGAGAAGTGGGCTGGTACCGAGGGTGAAGCGTAGGACGGAGAGGTTGACCTGCTGCTGCTGCGGAGGGTCGGAGTTGGAGGCACGGACGAGGGAGGAGAGGGTGCGGCGGCGGGGTTTGGCCGCTGGCGCTGCGCACGGGCGGAGCCGAGCGGTGGCGGTGGGGAGAAGGTGGGAGGAGCGGTGGAGCGCCGGTGCGCGGGCGTGGAGAGGCATGGCGTGGCCGGCGGTGGCCGTGGAGAACTGGATTGGTGGTCGTGACCAGTGGCCCTCGCGCGACTCGACTTTGACAATTGGACTGCCAAACAAAAAGCTGTGCAGATGTTTTCTTTACCTTGGGCTTTTGAGGTCCAGTAAGTCTTTATGGGCTAGAGTTGGTTCAGTGTACAACGTGGGCTTCTCCGCTTCGGCTTCTTCATCGCAGCAGGCTCCGCCCCTCCCGTTTTCGTTTCCTGCCGCCGTGACGCCAACGGCCCACGCTCCGTGGGCTCTCAGTCAGTTTTGCTGAATGTTGAGTCGCGGCCCGGGAACGGCATCCGGCAAGCCAGCACTGGTCCCGGCTTTGGCGGCATGGGTGTGGGATGAAGGTATGAAGCGCTCGGAAACACCAGTACACCACTGGTCAAAAGCTTCGTCCTCTTTAGCCAGCAAAAGGGAAGCAGGCCAGAAGTTTCTCGGAACCACAAGTGCTGGTCTAGTGGTCTGGCGTCTCGAGTCAATAGTGCCGTCGCGTCTGTGAAGATGATCTTGTACTTGTACCTAGACAAAGAGCACACATCCAGCCCACCAGGCCACCACTGCACCACGTTAACGCTGTTCATCGAGTCAGCAGCAGACAGCGCAAAAGCGCATGGGCGACTGCAAATAACCGCGAGGCGAGTAGAGGCGACCACGGTTTTCCTTGGCTGGTGATCGGTGGCGGCACACCACTGACTGAGAACAAAGAGACCCATCCTTTTACATCTTCATACAAACCACCACACGCCGCCGTGGTCGATCCACCGAAAACCTTGCCGCGCCATTGGCGTGGCGAGTGGCGACACGGAAAAGGTTGTTCCCCTCAGATGCCGGGAGAAACATGGGAATGGGAGGCAAGGCCCGGACAGATTCATGCCGCTATGGCGCTATCATGAAGGTCGGCCACAAGAACAGCAACGGGCGAGCCAATACTTGCGCGCACCGAAAGCTGACGATGCGCCAACCCAGAACTGCACTGCACCCACCGTAGGATACGACAGGATTCCTTCGGTTCCCTCCAGCACTGGCACGCACGGACGCACGGACATCATGCCAAGGCGTGCAACGGATGCAGTGACATCGCAGACAGATCGGTCTTCAGAAAAAAAAAAGGACTCCCAAGACAACCTGCTGCTTGGCAACAGGATGCGTGCGCGAGGTGCGCGGATTTGCTTGTGCGAGCAGGCGATTGACTGCAAACGAACGCCCCAACTGGTTCGCAACTGTCAGTATTATATTTTCAGCAGGAAAAGCGACAGCATTTCTTTATGGTACGAGCAGGATCGCCTGATCGTGGCGATGACGACGACGACAGTCGACAGCAGCGTGTGGTCGCTGAATAGTCTATGTGTCGCTAAACCGTGCTAGAGCAGGCAACAAAAGAATGTCACGCAAATTCGGCAGCGGTTTCAGATGGAAACAGCAGCGAACATGAGCGGTTTCAGATGCAAATTCGTCATGATGCCCTGTTCGCTGGCCTTATAAGCCATGGCTGAAAGTACTGTTGGCTGATTTGTTGTGAGAGAAAAATATTGTTTGTTGGCTGTTACATCGGTGTGCAACGTAGTTGGCGCGCGTTGATTCTGTGATTCATCGGTCATATGTTATCTTGATCGTGTTGCCACTTAAAAATCCTGTCTGCCCTGCTGCCCTCGAGCTCGATATGCATGACCGACAAAACGAACGAAACCGAACCTGTCAACCCCACAAGCCAGTTTTCTCCGAGCCTGCCAGGACTGACTGGAGCAAGAAAGACGAAACAGTCAGGTTAAACTTCGCTTTCTGTAATTGTGGAACTGCCTAAGAATTTCCGGCAACGGGTGAGCTTTCGTCAGTCAGGTTAAACTCCGCTTTCTGTACTTTTGGACCTACCTAGGACTTTCTGGCAACGGATGGGCAAAGCTCATCCCATTAGAATTTATCATTAATGAAGGAGTGCTATCATAAGAATACATCACATTAAAGAATGAATTGATAGCACATATCAGAAACTGGGAACGACATCTCTTCTAACTCGTTTCAGTCTCAATTCAGTATATGAGTGGAAAAACAATCACAATAATTAAAAGAATAGGAAAAAAAATACCACACATTTCTCTGTCTCAATTCAGTTCAAGAGTGGAAACGCACATCACAAAAACTAGAAGAATAGGAAAAAAGAAAGCATCAGAAACTGAGCAGTAGATAGCAAATTAGAAACTGGGAACGACATCTTCAAACTCATTTCAGTACAGTTTCATGGCTACCTCCAAGTCCCAATTCAGCTCAAGGGGGGGCGAAAACGACCTTGGGAAAGGACTGACAGAGCACTCTAGTGGTCACCTGACCATACAAAAACTTGAGTTCTACAACCATATACACTTCATCTCTGTGGCGAACTAGAGCCCAAAGCAAAAATAAGATCAGGCTGCAAGCTGCAAGCTGGATTTGGTCTGTCCTAATGTGAGTACCTCCACAACATCTACAGTCTCACTTCTGAGACCTGACCACTCTCTCCTGAAACCCCTTCCCTTTCGGATAGAAGAGCACCGAGTCGATGCACAGCCCGCCTTTTGTGTGCGTGCAGTCGATCTGTGCCATGGAGAACTTCAGCTTCATCAGCTGGTCAGGGTTTGAGGCCACAAAATCGCCAGCATGGTACAGGACCCAGCTCCCGGGCTCCTCCAGGTAGCACTGAGACAATGCCTGCTGCCCGTCGGAGGTCGATAGCTGGAAGCGCACAGGCTTCTTGTCCCAACCATGCACATGCTCTGAGGAGAAATGGCGGCGGCCAAATCGTTTGTAGAACTTCCCAAGATGGACCCTAAAGTACACGCTATATGTTCCAACAGGGAAGCAGAAATCGACTTCACCAACCACCTCAAACCACCAGATTTGCTGAAGGTAAGCTACAGACTGGAAACTGCATGATAAATCAATAATTATTGGTCAGATATTTGACTTTCATTTCAACAATATGATATCACCTATACTTATGATGAGCTAGAAATTTGAATTCAACTACTTTCAGCCTGTTCGGTTGGCTGGTTCGTATCGTTGCTGATTCGTGAAGTAGTACTGCTGGCTGGTTTGTGTGATAGAAAAATACTGTTCCGGCTGGAAATTTACGATCGTATACGACAAGCCACAGCCAAACGAACAGGCTGTTTGAACATTCTGAAGGGCGGGCCTGGTGCAAGCGGTAGAGTCTTACCGCCTGTGACCGGAAGGTCCCGGGTTCGAGACGCGGTCTCCTCGCATTGCACAGGCGAGGGTAAGGCTTGCCACTAACACCCTTCCCCAAACCCCGCACAGAGCGGGAGCTCTCTGCACTGGGTACGCCCTTTTTTTTACTTTGAACATTCTAGATGAATATTGCAAAACAGATGCAGGCCTCTTGAGAAGGGCGGGCTGGTGCAAGCGGTAGAGTCTTACCGCCTGTGACCGGAAGGTCCCGGGTTCGAGTCGCGGTCTCCTTGCATTACAGAGGCGAGGGTAAGGCTTGCCACTGACAAGCTTCCCCAGACCCCGCACAGAGCGGGAGCTCTTTGCACTGGGTACGCCCTTTTTTTTAGATGAAGGCCTCTTGACTCTTGTGCAACAAGGCAGAAAGCTACATCTCTTGTTCTAAAGAGATAATCAGCTCATGTACATTTGACAACATGTATGCATCCACCACATCTATCACGTTTCAGAGTAAATAAGCTTATGCAGATCTTAAAATAAATACTCCTTTGAAAGCACCTACAATTATATGAGACCATGTATGCATCAATATCAATCATTATCAGGAGAAAGTAACACTACTTCGAAAGCTGAATATAAATGAATGCCATGCTTAGCAAAGAAAAAAAGGAACAGGTCAATCACACCATGAGTAAATATCTTCAGCCCATTCCATCGCAATTAATGCCACCAAATCATCTTTGTTTTCAGAAAACTATCATAAACTGAACAAACAAATATTAGTAAATGTGATATCAAAGCCATATTCACCTTGATTCCGAAGTTGGCATGTGTTGCCAGTATCTTCTATCGTCAATCCCAGTTATCACCAGTGCTTTGGACGATAGTGCCATACAGATCATGCCTTTGCTCTTGTCCAACCAGAATTCCTACAATTTACAAAGACACACACTTTTAACTATACTGTTCTTGTTCTACAGCCAAAAATATATTGTCGGGGACCAATACTAGAGTAACCAAAGAGGAGGAGCTAATGGTCATCAACACTGATTCAACCGAGCAGTCGAGAGCGCGCCTACAGCTCCAACCGACCCCCAGGTGCGCGGGCTCCGCCCGAGGCCGCGGGCTCCGCCTCGCCCGACCCCGAGGCCGCGATCTCCGCCTAGCCCGACCCTTGGGTTTGTGCTCTGCCTCGCCCGACCCTAAGACCGCGGGCTCCGCCTCGCCAAACCCCTTGGGTGCGGGCTCCGTCTTGCCCGACGGGGACCCATACCGCCGCCAACCACTACAGGTCCAAGCGTATGGGCCTGGGTCAAAACCCTGACACGAAAGAAGAGACCGGCACGCCCCGATGTAACCCGCGGCCACGACAGGCCATACCTGATGATTCACATCAAGAACAGCGTCGGGCGTACCGGTGTTGTTCTGCCTAAACCTCGTACGAACACTGACAGGCGCGTCAGTTCACCACGACGTCCACCGGGATGGAGTGGAGCGCCATGACCGGCGGATGATGCCTGCGCATGGCGCCAGTGACGGATAGGACCGCGACGTGGAGCCGTCCATGTTGACATCTACAGGGTCGGCGAGACCCGCATGAAGGAGAAGAAGGACCCAGCGATCCTGGAGGCCTTCCTCTCTCTCGTTCTTCTCCTTTTCATCCGCTATAACCCGCGCTTTCCCTTGGCCTATAAAAGGGAAAGCAGTACGCCTCCTGAAGGGGATCCCAAACCAATCAGCCCATCAAGATCCGATACAGATCCGCACAAGAGCACGACACGAACACATAGCTGAGCAGCGATCGAGCTCTCAGC